CTTTTGGACCTGAAATTGAAATTAGAAAAGGCTTTCATTTCTCAGAGCTGAACAACAGTATAAACTAATAATGATCACCCCAGGTACAGCTCTTGTGCTTTATTCAGTGTTAAATGCATGACATTTATTGCCATACTACTGAAAGCAGCAGCAGATAGTTCACCTCAGATTTTGAAAACAAAATAAACGTTTTGAAGTTGAACTTTAGACTGTGACTCAGCACGTACATTTAATAATTCTAAAGAAGTTTAATATGTATTAATTAGATTATAAACCTTACAATTGTGTTGGAGTTCAGTGTGTGTGTGCACTATTCTGTGCTACTAAATGGCTGTATTTACACTTCTGGCATGTTTCGTGTGGTGCAAACAGCCAGATCGCACATAATTGCAAATCTCGTCATGTAGTGTGTTGTAAGGACACAGGGTTACAATGTAACCTGCTCACCTAATGTTTACATTCATAACATTTATATTATTTGCTAATAAATAACCACCTCATGTGGAACTCTGAATCTGCATCGCATTTGGGTCCCGGACACATGCTTTGGGAGCCTTCATGAATGAACTACGCTGTTTTCCACCAAGGCAACCTGGGGTACTGAAATATAATTGGCTAAACAGGGATTGGGCAGGTTAAAGGGACCAAAACAAAAACGGACGTTCTGGCACGAAACACACATTTTCAAAGCAACATTTCTGACTTCATCATTGTTTTTCAAATAAACAATTTTTACTTAGCATGTCACATACAGCACCTTTAAATAAAATAGATGGAAATAATGGATCTGCTGAGCCAGGTAAAAATAAAGAAATTCTGTTTTTAGGCAGAATTCTAATTTTAGGCTACTTGATACCTCAGACTTTTAATAGCCCATCTCATTTACAGTGAGAATACTGGGTAAAAAAAGCATCTCTGTTTTACTTGTGTAGAAATTTGGAAAACAAATGCAAATGAATTATATTTTCATACTAGTATAGGACTAGTTTAGACTCTGATATATATATATATATATATATATATATATGTATATGTATATGTATGTGTATATATATATATATGTGTATATATATGTGTGTGTATATATATATATATATTTATTGCTCTAAATTTCTTTAAAAAATTATCTTGAGAGACGGATATGTTACAAATATTAGCTGCAAATTTTGAAAAAAAAAAAAAGCCATAAAATCCGTCATTTTAGGTAGCAAGAAATCCCCCCAAAATGGTGTAAACCTTGTGGGAACACTGTAGCGTGCGTCTTAAAACTGAACTTTTAGGTCTCCATGTGGTTTTCTACCGCAGTTGAAGACGTGGTTTAAAATTGTTTAATAGCATGGATATTTGTTTTCTTTTTTTACAGTTGTACTTCAGCGCAGTCCTAACCACAACCACAGCAAACCTGGAATTTTTGATGTTATCCAATTTTTTTCATAATTAATCTTACATAATAAATCTCACTTTTTAATATACAGGCCAGCTTTCAGAGAGATTTTAGACTAGGAGGAATTACTTCAGTTTTATACACTCAATAGTTGCAGCTTTGGACAATCTGGTGTAACACAGAAAGGGCAGATGCTTGGTTGAGTTTAAGTGAGAACGAGACGTTATGTATGTGTGATTGATGTCAATAATGCATTAGCCAGAGGGTCAGGTGCCTCTCTTTTCCTCTTATACCGCACACTCTGTCCTCTTCCATCAAGGTCCATTTACCGCTCACTCTCTTGTGTGAAAAGGCTCACTCCTGTACCAAGCACCACAAGGCACTGTTGCCTCCAGCACTCAAACATTGCCATGGCTACACTCATCTTTGGTCTGGGCAGCCTGTACTTAGCCAGAGATTTGTGAAATAATTGTAGAGATTTTGACTTTTTTTTTTTTTTGATAGCATTTGAATTCCTGGATGTTATGATTGCTGCTGCTATTTTAGTATGTTTATCAAGGATTCAGTCCTCCTGGGGATTTTGTTGTATTTTATAGGACAGCATGTTACTCTTCATCTCATTTGTTTGAGTAATGTGTCTTGTGCAGTGTTAAGCACATTTCTTTAAAAAAGAAATTACTCATAGTTACATCTCATAAATAGTTACATAATATAAAAGTAACTAATTATCAGGGAAGTAACTATTGCATTACTTTAAAAAACGAATTGTCAAATGACTATAAAATAAATGTGAAACATTGTGCACAAATCTACACTGTTTTAATGTTGTTGTGGGACAATATACATTACATTACATTACAATGTGAGAGACAACAATCAGATAACATGTCATGATAAATATTATCATTACTATAGTTGCTAGTGGTGTAATGGACCACAAATCTCATGGTTCGGATCACGCTATGAATTTTGAGTCATAGATTTTGCGCAACATCTTGTACAACATATTTATTTTCGATTAGTGATTCAACAATTCACACATATAACTTCATGTTTGATTATAGATGGATCTTTATTGGAAACCTATTTAGTGACAATTTTGATGGCTGTTTGTCGCCACCCATTGGTTACACAATGCAATTGCTACAACATTCACCAGCGTCAAGTTCCATTAAACGGTATTTTTTAACCTTTACTATAAACATAAGTGTTTATATCTGAAATATAAACTGTTCTCACAGTTTTTCTGTGTTAATTAATTGTTTATAAAGAACTGAAAAAGTATAAAAACTGAATCTCTCTAAATCAAACGCAGATTTGAATGCAGCAATTCGAAGGATTGATAAACAAATGCAATTCATTATCATTTACCATCCATGTTGCACGGCTTTGAGCAGATCCCGATTTTTTTGTGCAGCTTTATACTGAATGCATTAATGCAGGCTAAACAAACACTGACAGAAAACATCTTTAATTAACAACCTAAGAAAGCATTTAGGTCCCATCACAACTTTTTCTGTCATCATTATATTTTACAGGGAAGCCAAAATGCTTTCATACACCTGATTTGAATGACACGAGAGGCAATCTCTCGGCAATTGTTATGAATGTTGGATTAACCTACGAGTTCAAAAAGAAATTAATCTGCAGGTCATGTGCGTTCAGAACTGTGGGTTGATTTGTTACGCCCCTAATAGTTTTGAAACTACAAGAAAGTCGTTTAGAAAAGTAGTGCTTATATTTTCAGTTTGCAAATACTACCTTTGATCTTGTTGGATTTTCCTTGTCGTTTGTGTGTGCCACTGACTGTGTGTGTGCTTGTGTGTGAACACCTGTACTCTTCTGCCTCTGATTGGCAAACGATGAAAATGTACTTTATCTAAGCCAATCATCATGTTCTCAGTTACACCACATTTACAAACACACCAATCATCATTGCTTGTTGGTTATGTGTTCTCCCCCATCCCCAAACACACACATATACACGCACCCCAGAGAGGTCCTATGGCTGAGAGAGATGCTGTTGGCATGAAAACCGCTTCAGTGTTGTCAATTATAGACTTTTTTTCTTGGAACGCAAAATTACCCATTATGCTTTGCGTGTATGCGCAAGGAGAATGCGAAGAACTTGTGGTCGGCAGCTGATGCGTGTAAACAGTCACATTTGGACAGCTTTGAAACGATAGTTTTAATCTATTTTACCTGCTTTTATCCTCTTTGAACTAATACTGTTGTCCATCAGCACCATCTCCTGGACTGATCATTTAAAGAAATGCGATCTAATAGGATGGAAAACAGCTGCTGTGAGGCATTTCCCCCTCGTTGTCAGAGGGCATCTTCTGCAGTTTAAATGAAGCCTTGTCATCGCTAAAGTCAACATTTTCTCTTTATTTCAAATATATAACCAGCCCAAACAAATGTAATTCACCAAAATGTTTGACACACACACGTAGCCTGTACTGTGCCACTGACACACTGATTTAATAACTGTGACAGTGAAACTATAGGCTAGTGTCATTTTGAAATGACAGAAAAACACAAACCGTGGTGAATACAACACACAAAATAAAACACAAACGGCTCGCGATTAGAATTAACATCAAATCAGCCAGCAGAGTATTAATAACAGACTTTTATTGGTCATTTTTGTTAATTGCACGACTTTCATACCTATAAAGTTTCATGCCAGAACTCGTGATTTGCTCTCTCTCTCTTTCTCTCTCTCTCTCTCTCTCTCTCTCTCTCTCTCTCTCTCTCTCTCTCTCTCTCTCTCTCTCTTTCTCTCTCTTTCTCTCTCTCTCTCTCTCTCTCTCTCTCTCTCTCTCTCTCTCTCTCTCTCTCTCTCTCTCTCTCTGTGTGTGTGCGTGTGTGTGCGTGTGTGTGTGCGTGTGTGTGTGTGTGTGTGTGTGTGTGTTAAAGAGCCGATGAGCTAACAGCTGACAGGCCGGGAACGCACACACACACTGTATTTCTGACGGCAGATTATAACGGCTTTAACAAACACATTTTTAAGTTGTGTGTCACAAAAACACTCTGTTATCCATTAAAAACGTTATTGAAACCCATTTTCGGAGCGCAAATTACCAGTGGTACATGCTGTAAACGGAAGTTTTTAGCATTCTACCGGAAGACGCTGGTCGCTATGGCGCCCTCTATGCAGCAGCCATGAAAAAGGTCTATAGTAGCGCACATTTTATTGTCAGTAACGGCAATGGCTTTGTTATGGGGGAAACAGTAACTCATTTGATTACTCAAAGTATTGCCATTATTTATAGTGTTGTTATTCCCATTACTGATCATGAGTATATTTTAAAGTTAGTATGGGCTGTTGCAGCCTAAGTGGAATATCCTCAATAGCACATAAATGCACACTTTTAATAATCTAATTAATCCCTAATGGAGAAAATCAAGTCTTGTTCTCTTAATGAATACGAAGCAACGTATATGTTCTGACATCCTCTTCAGCCATCTGAAGTTTCTGTCGGATGTTGTAACACTTGCTGTTAAATGTCAATTGCAATAAATGATTCGCTAACCTTTTCGTCCTGACATTCTTTCTGATTAGGCTACTGTCTGTATAAATCATCATCTTTATGTTTCTTTTGTCCTCCTACAGAGAGCCCCACATCCGATATGAACACATATACCTGCAGGACGCCAGCAGCCAATCAGAAGTGGAGTACTCTGAGATGAAGCGACCTCGCTTGGAGATTGGGGCGGAGTCTCTTATTCGACACTCATCTCATCGTCAGGCCCTCACTGTGGGCGGAGCTGAGGAAATGGCAAAGGTCGGCAAATCTAATTTCCATACAGAGTCAACTCCTGATATCCTATCAGTAACTGATAAGATGCTAATTATTGTTATACAAACAAAAGAATAGCCAATTGTAGTCTGCAGTAAATAATATTCACTACCTTAATGTCCAATCTAGACAACTATTCAACACTATTCTGTATTTTTTTGTTATTATAATTATTTATTTATTATTTCTTAAAGATAATTATGCTTTTCACTTTTTTCTGTATTTATTATAAAGTGGTGGATGGAACAAATTGTCTCTTTGCCTTCAAAATAATGTTATGTAATGTCTAATAAGCTGCAAAAAGACAGTCTTATCCTAGCACGGAGTTTTAACTGACTGTTTATGTTTCATTTTGCATCATAAAGGCATTCAATAATACTAGGACGTTTGCATTTAGCCACCTCTACATTTCCTCTGCATTAAATTGTAAGCCTTATTCTTTCATATTGAATGGAAAACGCTGAAACATATGCAAAGTGCACCTTTTTTTACAGCAAATATCCTTTAAAATCTTGCTGTAACCATAAAAACTTGCAAGTTATGCACATGTTTGAAACTGTCTATTGTGCTTGCTTTGAACATGAAGGGCAGGATGAAGAATATGGCTGGTTCCAACATAACATATGTATGTTAGCTTTGAGAGTTTTCTAAATTTGCTTCTCTCCCCCCCCTCCCACCACTAAGTAGCTTTAAAGTTAGCGTTCACTGTGGCAAACAAAAGCTGTAACAGTCTCTGAATCCTCAGGCTGGTGCTTTATGATTATTATTGTGGGATTAGACTAGAAAGGATGCTGCTTGTTGTACATGGATTAATCCGACTGCAGAGAAGAGAGATAATAAGTCTGTTCAGCAGATTATCACTTAGTCCATATTTATCGGCCTCGTAAATCAGCCTGTCTGTTTCCGTTGGCCTGCGTTTTTATCACCCCGGCCAGCACTGCCATTTACCACCACACAGGCCTGCTGGGAACAGACGCGTGTAGATGCTATATGCGTCTTAAAGATTGCATCTCGAAGAGTTATGTCACTAATACCAGAACCACTGACTTTGCAGCTGTGGCTTTTTGTGAGGGAATGAATGTGTGTGTGGTGTAACGGTAAACGGCACAGGCAGATGTTTGGAATAACTCTGCAACTTCTTAGGAACTCTCTTTTCTAGGTCAGGGGCTCTGTGAAGGGTGTGTGTGTGTGTGTGTGTGTGTGTAGGAGTGTATACAGTCTTTCTTTAACACCATACTGCTTCCTTAAACCATGTGAAATCCCATTTCTGCTGCTTTACAGCTGTAGGTGTCACCAGACTGGATCAGCTTTTGCCAAGTGTGCATCCCATAGCCAATTATGAGAGTGTTTATTGACTTCTAGAGAGACTAGTTTTCTTCCTCACAGGAACAACAAGACTTAGGAGATAAGTCAAAGGCTGCCTCTGAAATTGCTTGTATAAGGTGGGCCCAAACATTTTCGTATGAAGGGCCAAAAGCCAAATATCACTGAGAGCCGTGAGCCAAAGGTAAATATACCAAACTATATTACATTAAAGTTGCCGTCCATAATTTCCTAATTTTTTCATAATATTTCAAAATAAATAGAAAACATGACTTTGAACCATGTTAAGTAATGCAGTATAACTTTTGAAATGATTACTTAACTTCACTTAAAAACATCACTTTTTAACACTGTGGAGTTCAATGCTTAATACACTAGTCGAGCAGAATCTGCCTTTGGCTTCCTTTGCTCACCAAAATCTCTGCTTTGTCGGGTGACCATATGTACATTTAAACAGAATCTGATTAATTTACACCATTTTATTGAAACATTTCATTTCAGATAGCTTTTAACAATAAAACAACATATAAAGGGTTGCATTAAAATTGAATTGACAATCTTGAAACCATCCCCATCAATCTCCCTCTCTTAGGCCGTACTCACACTAGGTACAGTTGCCTCGAACCGGGCCAAAGCACGCTTGTCCCCCCCGACGGCCCGCGCTCACACCACAAACGGGCTTCGGCACGCTTACGTCATCGCTGCTGCGCTGTACAGTGAGAAGCACTTTCTCACTCAGCAGCACAGTGGAGATTTCTCTAGTTATATCGTTTCAGTCGTTTGATATGCCGTCAAATATTTCGCCAAACAGTCCTTAGAGATGCGGGGACACGCAGTCAGATATTTCAGCGAACAGATCCGCCACTTTTGGCGCTCATAAACAATCATAAAGCTCTCGTGCTGCAGGAATGAGGAGGTCTGCTGAAGGCGCACAGCTGTCGTGCAGTGACGGGTTTGCGTCTTTAATAAACTACGGCAGTTTGCGTTCACTGAACAGTAAGAATTATTAATAAATCCATATGAAACAGTGCCTTAAAAGTCACGTCTTGCTTTCAGTTTCGAGCTTTGGCGCGTTTTGCACTCACACACTGGGCTCAGGCACACCTCTTCCAACCGGGCCAGGGCCGGCCAAGTGAACCGTGCTTGAGCCTGATTCAGCGCACTCACACTTCTCAAACGATCCGGGAAACGGGCCTGGGCACGGTACGGATGGCATAGTGGGAGTAGGCCCTTAGAATGGTGGGCCAAATCAAAGGTTACCATCGGCCGGCCCTAGTTTGGGCATCTCTGCTATATAGTATGATAAATAATACAGTATTTGAGCCGAGTAGTATTCATAGTATTTCAAAACAGTTGGCGAGAAGTACCTGGATGACCAACTACTTTCTACTGTATTCAAATTCTGAAGTGCACATCCAATGGACTCTACGCTATCCCATGAGGCCACGCCAGAGAATTCATGAAGTACTAGGTCAAGTACTAGATCCACCATTAGTCCAAATTATCACATACAAATTCCATTCAAACTATATAGCAGTGGTCTGCAACCACTGGGCCAGCCAATTGGTACTGGGGCGCACAAGAAATCCTTAATTATTCCGTGTTCGCATGGTTTTTCTCTGGGTGCTCCGGTTTTCACCCAGATTTGAATAGGCTAAATTGGCCGTGGTGTGCGTGAAGGAGTTTGTATGGGTGTTTCTCAGTGTTGGGTTGCAGCTGAAGTTAGCGGTTCATTCCGCTGTGGCAACCCCTGATTAATAAAGGCACTAAGCTGCAATTGAATGAATTAAAGCTGTTCTTTAAGTAAATAAAGTTAAGTATAAATGAATGAGAATAGAAGTCTTGAGCCAATAAGGTTTCAATGGCTGCACCCACTCTTCTGTTAAAGAAGGTCAATATTAGAGACCTACTGGAGCTTTGTTTACCAAACAAGTGGTTCAAAAAGGATTTGTATTATTAACCTTAAATGAAATTTGTTTTTATCTTTTAGCTTCTATGCTTTCAAAACCATTATGCATTTTTTAATTAAAAACAGAAATAGCTAAATATTCCACAGATTCTATCTAGATCTTCTTGTATGTAATCATTTAATTCTTAATTCTTTTTTACTTGATATCATCACAAAAGCCATTTAATTCTTAATTCTTCATTTTAGAATCAAGGTAATCAATAAAAACTAAAATCTTCATTAATACATACATTAATAATAAAAAAAAAATATATATATATATATATGTTTAGAAAACTGCTCCTCTGTAGCAACTTCTAATGGTTAAATAGTTTTCTGAGGTAAATGTTTTGTGACCTTGTTTATGAATTGATTTCTATTATCTTTTCCTGATTGAAATATTGGTTTGAGCAAGTCAGACTCTTTCAAGAGAATAACTGATGTTCTCAAAGCAATCTGTCATGCCACATTTAACAGCTTCAAAACGTTTGTTGTTGATGTTTTGTGACTAAACGAACAATTAAAAAGCTGATGCTCTGTTTCATTTAACAAGTTACAAAGCTATTGTATGGCAGATGCAGGACAAATATGGTTATTGAAGTTCTCCCAACAATAGCATAGACTGAACGATGGATATTGATTGTATAATCCATACTTATCTATTAAAAAAAGCAATCAGTCAAGCCCTAGCACTGACACAGACATCTTACTAAAGTAAAGCCATGTTCTTAAATCAGTAATAACAACACTGATTTCTTCCCTTAAAACCCAGTTGCATTTGCTGAGATTTTGGTGCATAATTACTATTGTTTTCAGGCTTTAACCAGTAAAGGGGCAGTCGTGCAGGAAAGAACTGATTACATTAGTCATATTTAGATGCTAATAATAAAATAAAATTTGTGATTGCCGGCCAGATATTTGTTAATAACTGGAGGTGGCACAGAATTAGTTATTTTCCATGCAAGAATTATCCAGGATTTACATATTTATTTGTCAGTATATCCGGGAAAAAAGTATATTGTTATTTGTTATTGTCTATTGAATTTATTAATTATAAACAATAAAAAAATGTGTATATTCTTTCTGCTCTGTTTCGCTGTGTGTTTAATTAGGGGTTAGATTTACAGAAGTCTTGACACTGAATTTGGGAAATGTCTTGATAATAATTCTAAGAAGTTCTTAAAAGCTGTTCTAAGAATTGAGTTGAGTCATCAGTATATTAAGGGTGTGTACTCTATCACTCTATCTACTTTGCTAATGTTTCTCATTTATTTATTTTAAAGGGTTATAAGTTGTTAAAATAAGATGCAAAGCTGAAATAACCTTCTGCATTTATTTGATTATCTTATGAATGTCTTATTTATAAATTCTTGTGTGTCGATTGAGGTCAAAAATGTTTGTAATTGTATAATTAGAAAAATGTGCTGTTATTGCTAATAGTATTCGTTTTTGAGGAACTGAATTTGCTGAATCAAATGCTTAAAGGGACACAACTATTTTTTGTAGTAGGCTGTTTCACAATTGCTCTAAAGTTAAACAGTTGAGTATTATCATTGCTGGATCCATTCAGCTGATCTCAGAGTCTGGCACATTTAGCTTAGCAAAGCTTAAATCATTTAATTAGATTGGAACATTAGCATCTTTTTAAAAAAATATTTTTGATAATCTTCCTATTTAAAGTGCACCTATGATGAAAAATCATCTTTTGTAAACT